GAAAAATCGCGACCATCAAGCTTCAGCCCAGTCAAAGACTGGTCTTGTGCGCGCTCATTCTTGGAAGGCATTGGCAAAGAGTGCAAGTACAGAACTTGGGAGACAGATGATGTTTACAATGCAGATCTGTCACGCATTCAGTGAGTTATTGGATTCGTCTATGGTCAAGAACTGAATATTTATGTCCTCCAGACTAATCTTACAGCAGCTACCAGCCTTCAGTGAAGTAGTGAGTTGGGAAGAGATGACAATCGCCTTGAATGCGTGTTCTGATCTGAAAGGGTAAGTATCAGCATCTATCAGTTACGATATGCTGAGACCTGGAATATGGAGACCATTGAAGGAGAGAAAGGCCAATCGAAGATAATTCCTTGCATTATCCGATCGAATGTCCGAGAGAAATTCCCGGATATCGTTGAAGAGTATAGTTGTAAAAGGGTCATCTTGATCCTCATTGAAAGATCTGGTGGATAATGCCCCAATCAGATCACAAGCCGATTCCCTACGGTACCAGCGTTGATAAGGGTCGTCACTTATTGAGAATCCGACTAGATCTCTTAGGGAATCCAAGGGTTCCTCTTCAGCTTCTGGTCGACCCCGTTGCTCCCATACTGCCCATCCAGCCGCATTTTTTTCTCCAATACGTGGCACTTCCGATTCCCAAAACTCTTCCAGTCGTTCAATCCTATCATTTAGAGGAAGGTTTGTCAAGATTTTGGGGCAAAAATCAGAAAGTTCTAGTTGGGCTTGGAAGATGGCATATGCTTGTTCCAGAAAGCCTAAGAAACGAAGTGAGACTCAGTCACAGAATTAAGAGGAGACAAATACCTGCTTCCCTCAGAAAGATTGCGATTCTCCAGCAGACTCTCACACGGACCATCTCATATTCACTTCCCGAGAGTGCAGAAACGGTGGTTTTGGCGTGGGTCGATGCGTCAGAGATACTCTTGCTGCTGGATAGTCTCCATTCGAGCCAAGATAACCAAATGATAGAACGTTTCCACGGTTCGGACCAATAAGAGCAAGACAATCCTTCCATTCCTCCTCTAGTTTGTCGTCCATCCAAATTTCGCTGCCGTAATCTAAATATGTCAGGCGTAACAGAAGCGAGATTTTGTTGGCGGGGTGTGTCGATATTGCTCGTTCGAGAATCGAGATGGCTATATCTGCTCGAGCGCGGGCGCCACGCTTAGCGGTGACGGGGATAGATTTGACGGAGATATCCAAAAGTTTTAGCCAAGAAGATTCGTCGTCCGGATTTCGGCCCAGTTTTTTCTCCAACTCTTTGATACTCTCTTGCTCAGCAGTCAATCCAGGTCCTTCTGACTCATCGGAGGACGATTCAGTGCGGAATATGTCTGAATCATCCTCCCGTTCTTTTTCCCCTTCTATGGAGCGATAAGAGTCTTGTGGATCAATTTCTGTCTGCTTTTTTCTCTTGCCGATAGGGATGAATTCTTCAGAACCGAGAGTTGGATCATTTCGTAGAACCAAGCGGCGATGTGGACCCTGAACGAGGT